GGGGGGGGCTGGTGGCTGCCTCTGCAGTGAGGCTTTAAAAACTTCAGAAAAGACTGGAGGAAATAGATCAAACGGGGGCTCCGGGGGTCCGGACGCGCCCTCTGCGCGCCTGGGCTCCCGGCTCGCGCCGCTGCCCGTCCTTCAGGGCGATGGACGCCGCCGCGCGCCCCAGCCGGGCGACTAGTCGTCCAGGTGCTGCTCCTCCCAGGTGGAGGTGGGGATGGCGCTGTAGGGGTCCATGATGACCTTGGCGCAGCGGATGATCATCGCCACGAGGAAGAGGCACAGGAAGGCCAGGCAGGCCAGGGTCAGCCCCTTGTCCACGTCCACGTGCACCGGCTCTGGCGTGGCTTCCTCCATGGCGCGGCTGCAGGCCCCTGCGGCTCGGGGGCCACTGGTACCATCTTCGGCCCTGCAGAGAGGGCCCTCGTCACCTCACTGGCCACGGAGATGGGCCACTCCGAGCCCCAGGGACATGCAGGGCAGGGCGGAGGGATCGCCCGAGGTGTCGGGGGCTGCACGGCCCCGCCGCGCCGCGCCCCCCAGAGCACGCAGCCTCGCCCCCAGGCCTGTCCCCACCCCGCTCCCCGCTTCTGGGCGTGGCCCCGCCTCCAGGCCCAGGCACCCAGGGGCGCCTCGGAGGAGCGGCGGGAGCTCGGGACAGCGAAGCCGGGACAGCGAAGCCGGGGCTTTCCAGGGACAGCACGGCCTGCTGCCGCCTCGGGCCACGGGCCCGGGAGGGAGGGTGGGGGCCGCGGGAGGGGACTGGGCTCTGAAGGAGGCCCTGGCCGTGCTGCCCAAGTGGTGGCCACCGACGGGTCCTGAGTGCTCAGGTCCAGGGAGGCCTCGGCCCCAGGGCACCTGTGGCGGGCATCACTCCTGGCTGGGGTTGTCTGGGGGCGACCCCAGGGTTGTGTTTTTCAGGCACCTGCTGGGTGCTGAGGCACCCCTAGGCGCCACCACCTGGTCCCCAGAGCGGCCCCCAAAGAGGCTGCACTCCCTACCTCTGGGGGAGACACCCCGCTCAAGGGGGCTGCACCCGGAAGCCCAGGCCCAGCTGAGCCGGGCTGGCAGGGGCCTGGTGCCCCCTCCGGGGAGCGGCCCCAGGGCCTGGCTGTGGTTCTCCGGGGTGGGGGGTTGGGGTTTGGGGGAGACAGGGGGCGGGGTGTCTGTGGGGTCAGGGCCAGGGGTCGCCGGGGGGGACCAGGGGTCTCTAGGGGCCCAGGCACGGTGCAGACAGGGCCGGGGCCAGCAACGTGGACTTCAGGGAATGTCCCGACAGCTGCCCGCAAGTCCAAAAGCCCCTCAGTGCTTCAGCGTGGACTTCAGCAGTGGACAGGGCTGCCGTGTGGACGGTGTCCAGAGCGCTCGCCAGCCGGCGGCCCTGCCAGGGCAGCTGGGGCCAGCACTGGCGCCTGCCCAGGCCTGGCCCTCTCGGTGCCCAGACAGGGCCATTCGGGGCATTTCCTGGACACCGTTGTGATTTCCACGGAAGCCACAGGACAGCCCTGGGCCCGGCAGAGTCCACAGCCTGCGTGTGCGAGGGCCGCCCAGTGTCTGGGCCGGCCCGGGGGCGGGCGCCCCGTCTGCCGGCCGCCCCCACCCCGCTTGCTTCCATCTCGCGCCCAGCGGTGAGACATCTGCACTTCCACAGGCCTATTCTTTGTGTCAGGACGTGTGGTCGGGGCTCGCTACTCGCACCGGGCCCGGAGCGGTGGCCGGGGGACGTGGCGGGCGGCGAGGTGGTCACCCCTTCCTGGACCAGGGCGGCGCTCACCTCAGGCTGAGGCCTCCCGGGGCTGCCGCCGACCCGCCCCGGCCCCTCCGGGTGTCGGCGTCCGTGTCCTGGGCCAAGGCCACTCGGCAGGACGGCACAGGGCTGCCCCACTGGGCAGAGGCCCCGGGCCCCCTGGACGCTCGCCATGTGAAAGAGCCCGGCTGCTGCGGACGCCAGGTCCTCCCTGGAGTGTCTGGAGGCCCGGGGGCGAGTGGCCCGGACCCAGAGTGAGATCGCACTGGCCACTGGGACCCTCCCGGGGCCGGGCCCCTGGCCGCCTTCCGAGCCCGAAGCCGCACTGACCTTGGAGCAGCGGGTGCCCAGCTTTCCCCTTCCAGAACCTTCCCTGAGGCCAGGGCGACCTCGTTCCCAAGCCTCAGCCCGCAGCCCCCCACCATGCCCTCCTTGGTCTGGGGACGCGCAGGCTCTGGGCGAGCAGGACAAGGCCCAGCCGACCCGGCGCCAGCAGAACTTCCCCAAGTGGCCCGTGACCTCCTTCCGCGCTCCAGGCACTGGGCGCCAGAGGCCACTTCCAACGTGGATTCCTGCTGCTCCAGATCCGCCAGCCCCCTCCAAGCGCCCGCTCAGGGTGCTGGGGAGGTACCCCAGTCTCCAGCCCTGTGGGGGGCTGCAGTGCCTGCGGGGCGCCCCCTGCCCCCAGGAGCCCGAGGGCAGTGGCCAGAGCCGGCAGGGGCACTGGCGCAGGGCAGCTCTCTCCTTGGGCAGCGGCCCACGGGCTGGCGGCGGCGG